GGATCCCTTATGTGTAAAATGGAGGAAATAATACCTACATCATGGGGTGGATGTGAACATCAAATACATCAATGACTGTGAAACCACTTATAAGATGTAGAGTGCTCAAATGCTAGTTCATATGGGCATCAATGTGCTGTGAGGAAATACAGACCTTTAAGCCAGGATATGTGACTCTAAGTTGAACTATCTGTGTGATCCTGGGCAAATCACTTAACATACAGAGTATAAAGAGTGTGGACGCCGGAAGTCTGGTTCTTTTACTAAGTGCATATCGACTAACTACCTACCTTGGGCAACTTACAATTGTGAGTCTGTTTCCTCATATGTAAAATGAAAATAACAACAACCCCATAAAGGTTTGTTTTAAGGGGGAAAAAATCATTTATATAAAGTATCTGGTATATATATGATACCTCAGTGAATAGTGGCTACTTCAAGAATAGAGTGAAAAAGAAAAACCCACCTGTCAGGATTGGGAAGCAAATATGGTAAGGCAAATGAAATCATTGTCAATTATAGATAGGACGACTGAGACCCAAATCTCTTGGCTGTAAGGTCTGTGTGTTCTGGCAGCATTATTGAGGTCCATACAGACTAACAATTTGGGCACGCTACAGTTTATAAAGCAGTTTCACAGTCATTGATGCATTTGGTATTCACATCAATCTTATGACGCAGGTATTATTTTCTCTATTTTACACAATAGAGGACCAAATGTTAGCCGTCATTATGATTTTTATAAATGTGTGCTTGATGGGAATGCGTTCTTGCTTAGCCTCCTCAGTACATACCACATTTGGGCTTAGTACAGATGGCCATAAACACCAAATATTCAGCTATTAAATCAGCCCCAAAAGTCATTCCCATAGGTGAGCATGGCAGACTTCTATAAGAAATAAACAGCCTATAAAGTAAAAAGATGGATATAGTGTGTTAAATTTGTTAAAAACCAAAGTCTCATAACTTTAGAGCCACATCACCAGGCACTGTATTAATATTTGAGATCTTTTTTTAAATGTAGAAGTTATTTTACTGTACTATAAAACTTCACATATTCCCATCTAAGGTATATTGTTGATAGTTTGCAGCTAACGTTTCCTTCAATGGGAGTGTGGGAAAAAGAGGGGTATAAACATTTCTGGGATTACCCTCAGAATTTGCTATTTGGGAGGCAAGGCAGTCATAAGGATGTGTCCCGAAGAACTTCGATTATAAAGAGTGTAAAGGACCAAGTGACCCAGGGGCTGTGCTCCTGGAACCCACTGCTGTACTTGCCACGCTTCCCAGGGGCTACTCCCAGCCTTACCATCCCAGCCCCAGACACGGGACTCTGCCAGCTGACTTTGGCTCGAGGACTCCCTGACACCTTTGTGAACCTTCCTTAAATTGGGTGGCAATTTCTAGGTTACTTCTACCCAACTTTCTCCTCCCTCTCTTTAAGAAAGACTTACGCTGCCTTCCAGCTTTGCTGGGCTCTCCCAGCTTTGCCGGGCTCCCTCCCTATTTCCTCTCACAGGGGCACTTCCCCAAGTAAAATCCTAGCTTCTTTGATCCTCTTAGCATCTGCCTCTTGGAAGACCTTCTGTTACACAGAAGGTGACCAGCTAAGATCCACAGGCTCTTCTGCTGTTCATGGACTCAGTGCTTTGACCTGCACTTTCCCAACGTGGCCAGAGCCATGGGAAGTGAGAAGGAAAGGGAGGTGGAGGATCAGGGTGCTGAAGGAGGCTAACCAAAGGCCAGGACACCTGTTGAGGACACTCCTGTATTAGTAACATCTAAAGTCTGCTATTGCCTCTACGGGGCACCCTCCCCTGTTTACTGAGGCAACCAAGCACAGGACACTAAGGCATGTCTTACCTGGCCTTTGGCTGGGTCTTCTTTGCAGCTGCCTCACTGGCTTTCACGGGTTCAGGCAGCTTTGCAGGAATAGGTGAGTTCTGTAGAATTGAAAGGGAACTTTTAGAAAGGACATCACAGATTTCTTTGTGAAAGAATAACCAGCATAACTGGGCTGATGGAAAAATATGTTGGGGTCTTCCAGAGTTGTTTCCTGACCCTGATCTCTGGTAGGGGGAAGGGAAGTTAACCAACAGCACATCCCACTGGACTCAGCCCCAGTCAGGGAGGCAAGTATCTGAAAAGAGGACAGAGCAGCCTGAGTACAGCACACTCCTCCGCCATCATTCTCAAACTTATGTACCAGCTGAGGTCACTGAGGCTTGATCTCAGTACAGCACAGCTTAGAAATCATGTTATAAAAGGAATGGCAAGAAATGTCTATAACCTATATTCCTATTGAAGCCCTCAGCTAGATCTTAGACAAGTTAGAGCTGACTAGAGTGTCACATCAGGGTGCGCTCAGTGTTCCGGGTAGAGTGCTGGGAGAAGACCACAGGCAGTGTGTGTGGTTGCTAAGCCAGCACCTCTTCCCAGCACGTGAGGCACTACTCAATCCACAAGCCAAGCAGGGCTCCTCTAGCGTGGGTCCCGAACCATCCATCTAATCCCATCTCTCGAGGGAGCACGAGCTGTTCCTAACCACAAGACAACTGTTTCCCACTGCTGAGCAAGTACCAAATGACTTGAGACTTGTGAGCTAACTTTATCAAAACTAGTTACCAACCTGAATGCTTCCAATTATGTTTCATGTTAATTAACTTTATGAATGGGAAAGTGGGTCAGTAAAAGGAAACACGGTCATGTTCGGTTGCTGTACAACATCCCTAATTTACTGTGGGAAACCTGACAAACGGGATGCTAGTGATAAAACTGACTTTTAATGGGGATGTCCCATGCCTTTCATGCTTTCTAGGTGAGGGGGATTTCTGCAGAAAACGTCTCCAAGCTTCACTTCCACCCTCCAAGTGACCCTCCCCCGAGGGAGGAGCTGTAACTTGTTTGACTGACAAGACTGGGAGGAAAAGGTGAGCACGTCAGGCTGGCCCTTGCTCTCCCTGCTTTACGGAAGAGCTTGTTTCTATGGAATCAGGAGCTCACTGCTGAGTCCTGTGGCTCTAACATCAGGGAGCCTGACTGATCAAGCTACATGCTCTGACTCAATCTTATTAGTATTAAAGCCAATATTCTGAGCTCCAGCTGAACGATTTCCACATCTGATCTAAATGTGGGAGTGAAAGTGGAATGTTATTTATTGGCACCCTCAAGCCCCGATCATGACATCAGAAGTTCATTATTGGAGAAACAGGCAAGATAATTTCAGATTAGGGTTTACTTATGATTAGTAAAATATTCAAGAGTTGGATCATACTAAAACATGAAAAATATGCCAAGGCTGTAAAAAGGGTGCTTGCAAGCACTGTACTCTGAAAACTGTCAGTGCAGAGTTTATTGAGTATAGAAAACGTTCCTATGGCCTGATGTGTGTGGGGAGGGTAGAGGAGGAGTGTGAGTCATAGAGAGCCAAGAGCAGGAGCAAAATCGAGAAAGCTCTGCTGCAGTGCAGGAGAAAAGGGACCGGGGGCTCCCGGTCCAGCTGGCAGGGGTCAAGTCCAGGGCCTTGTCTCAGGAAAGCAGCCTGCCTAGCCACCTCTGGGGAAACACAACAGTCACCTGGCTCTCAGTGAACTGTGCAAGTTGATGAGACAACAGTTTGGTCAATCTTCACCCAAAGTGATCAACTCAATCCCTAGGGCATTTTTTTTTCCTTCAGTGTCATTGCCTCAGTTTTGTCATTAAATTCTATGGGAAATTGGATTCTCTTTATAGCAATTGCTTCATAGTTAGTTTTGCTCGAATGTCCCCTACTGGATAAAGCAAGGGACACCTACATTCATTGAAACAGCTGATTAATACCCTAGGAATTTCTAAATGACAAGTCAATAATATTTATTTCCCCTAAAAAAGCACCTTTCACATACCTGTACATTTGGAATTGGGCATTCTTTCTTGAGTAATTTAAATGAGAAGTAGGAGACCTGGTAAATATCCGGCCTTTTGTCAGGGTCTGGCTCCAACATATACCCTAAAACAAACATATGTGACCTTATTTAATAATACCCTCACAATTAGTACATGAGCTAAGAGGCATAATTTCTCTATTACCAAAATTTTGTTGTTTAAAAATTTTGATTTCTCTTTTATTTCTGTAAAAGTCAGACAGTGCAATTAGCCCTTTCCCTCCCCACTCTGAAAGGGAAGCTCTCACTGGGCTAAAAATTTTAACATCCACAAGAAAATAACAAAGTTTTTGAATTGTAACAAAGATACTTGAAGTGCACACTCTGTGCCTGGCACAATAGGGACTCAAGCTCTCAATATGAAAATTCTGGCACCTAGGAAGTGACATGGCCTTTTGCTTCTGGCTTCCTTAGTTCATCTGATCTTGCTAAACAAATTATTATTCTTGATAATTATAACCCACATTCAAATTTCATAATTTTATTTATTATTCTTTTGTTGGAGATATGAGCTGTTTTCTAGTTTAGAAGAAATCGCAAAAATAACAAATACATCTCTACTTTTACCATAATTACTTTCCAGGTCTGAAGCTGGAAAAATCCTCAAGAAAAAGAATCTTTTAAGAAGACACACACACACACACACACACACACACACACACACACACACACACACACACAATGCAAGGCAACTCATTACTCAAGAATCAAATGAATGGTTTAGGACACTAAGTTCAGAAAAAAACTGATGAGGTGGCAGTCTTGTGAAGGCGCCTTGCATAAGAGGCAGGATTTGAGCTGGTCCTTGAAGGCAGGAAAAAGTGTAGTCAGGGCAAAGCAGGGAAAAAGACGTTCTAGGTGAGAGAACAGTCTGAGTGAAGATGGACTTGGAGAAAGGCACGAGAACACCTTGTTACAAGGAGCCAGGGGAGCCAGCAGGCAGGGAGTACAGGGAAATAAGGCTGGCTGGGTAGGACGGCACCAGAATACAAAGGATCTGCCATACTCAGAATCTGGGCCCTACTGTGGGCATGAAGCTTACTGAATAGGGACATGATAGGGTGACATTTTACAGGATTAATCTTGTGATGAAGGTTGTTGGATAGACTGCAGAGGGAGGGGAGAGGCTATGCCAATCACCAGTACAGGCATGAGTTGGCAGAGTCTGTACATATCATCGTGACAGTGATGAGAATAGAGAGAATGTAATAAAAACAGAAAATGCCGAAGAAAGAACTAGTGTCACCTAGGAAACACTCTTTCCTCTCTCCTGAAAGGCAAATCCAAAGAAAACCTTACATTTCATTCATCCAGGCTTTAGTGGTGACACCACTGATAGAAATTGAAAAGAGGAGAAGGGAACCTTGAATTGGGAGTAAAAGGGTGTGGGGATGGGGTGACAATAAATTTAATTTTAGACCTCTGAATTTAAGGTGACAGAAGAATCTTCAAATAGTTTGTAAAGTGGAATAGATCAGTTTAGAAAAGATGTCATGTTACAGACATTCATAGAGTTGTTTTGCCTAACACGAATTTGCTGCACAAATGCTAAAAAGAAAAAAAAAAATTATTACCAAAAATCCAGTCATTCTAGCATCAAATTTGGCTATGTCCACATATTTCCTTCCAATCTCATTTGCAATTCTAGACTAGACATATGCTTTACCTCTGAAAGCAATCCAACAACCATTAAATCCCATACTCCATTCCTTTAAATACCCTCCCTCCCTCTTGTTAATAAATGGAAGAGGCTGATGGATAAAATTGGCACAATGGAGTGAGAAGTCACTTAAATGTTATAACTAGGTTAACTTGGGTGAGTTACCTATACTTTCTCAGCTTCAGTTTCCTCATTTATAAAATGGGGATAATGAAGTGTTCGGAATTAAATGAGGTATTAATACAAGTAGGCCCTCAACAAATGTCAGCTACTCTGCCCCACGCTGGCTTCTTCCTTCTCCAGCACATCCCCACCCAGGACCCAAACTGGGCTGCTCAGGATTTATAATCCATAATCGTTAAAATGTAGATGCTGCATGTCTTGACCGACGTAAAAAGATGATTAAAAAAAAAAATTTCTTCTTCAGCATTCTACTACAGGGACTTATGCAAAGATTGCTTATTCTGCCATCTGGTTAAGGAACATTAGTACATATGCTTGCTATGACAATGCAAAAGGGTGGGGAATTTTAAAATCCAGTCATTAACCTAAATGAGAGGAAAACCCCAGTTCTATAGAGTTATACCGTCTTAATTATGTATTCACTCCAGCAAATGCATTGCAATCATTTTAATTTGAGTAGCTTCTAGTTTTATACAGATGAATTTCTTATCGCTTGGTATGAGTCAGCTGGACTCCTCTGGTACCAGAGCTTTCATACAGACTGCAAGAGAACAGAGCAGGAAAGTACTGCTCAAAGCGCAGTTAGGGTTTCTGCCTGGGTGGCTGGCTCGGGTGTAAAACAGGGTTTGGATTTCTAGCCCAAAACCCACCACTCTCCTCAAACAACTAGACACTCGTATGTCATCTTTGAGCGACCCACCATTACCATCTGCTTTCTTTGTCTTTGCATCTAACTCACCACTCCTAGGACCTAATGCCTTTATCCTCCAATGCATTCCTAGAGACTGAATATGAATTAGAGATAAAAGTATGAAACTAGAAATTCAAAATACTTACTAATTAAGCAGTGCATGTCTTGAGAGTATCGAGAGTTATCAGGAATTGTGAAGTTTCCATCACAAATTGCCACCTGACTCTCCCCAAATGGCAAAGTGAAGTAGCACAATTTATACAATAAACATCCAAGAGCCTAAAAAATAAAGACAGAAGATTACTACTGGTGGTTTATTTACCATAACTACAAGTGGGTCTACTCAGAGATAGTGGCATAGTCCACATTTTCTAGCAGATATAAAAACTATGTACTATTAACCTATTAGTAATTTGAATTTAGAACCCAACACCACTATTGAGCTGCTGAGTTACATTATTTACATCGTTACCAAACTGTGCTCCAATAAAGAACAAGTTATTTCGGCTGTTTTACTCTTCACAACTAGTAACGCTTATGTGACAACCGCCTAAATAATGGGCAGGTCACCTGAACAATGTTCATAGAGCTCTAACATAATTTTCTGTGACCTGCTTCAAGCAGGAGCTGGTCATCTCAAGAATAACCCCGAGGGCTAAGTAGACAACGATACAGTCTAGGGGCCACTCTTGCTATGGCACTGTCTGGATTATAATTGGGAGCTGACAGTCAAGACTGCTGAGATCTCAGACGTGGATAGGTTACTTGACACCTACCCAAATGTCTGCCTTCGTGGTGATGATTTTGCCACTGTACAGGTTGACCATTTCTGGTGCTCGATAGGACAGCGTTGTGTATCTACAATCAAGAGATTCAGTTTTTGTTAAATATGTCAATGACATGATTAAAAACCAGGGGTAACAGAAATAACATTATATATATATATTTTAATAGAGTTCCCTGGGAGCAATCTGCAGAAGAGAGTATGAAGTATTAGTGCAGATAAAATGAACAGCTGTCCTTGGTACGCACTGGTGGTCCTCTAGCAGCAGCCCTAATCTAAGAGCACGAGAGGACCCCGGCACTAAGGCATTAAATAAATCCTAAAAACAACTTTTCTTGGGTCCTCAAATAACAAAATCTTCCCCTGTAAATCCTTGTTTTATGATACTCTATTTGCTGATACATTTTTAGAAATAGTAATCTCCTTTAATGTGGCTTGACAATGAGATGTAATACTGCCAAGGACCCTGGAAAACAGCAGAAAGTGGGCCCTGGCTGGGTGGGAGGCAGATGGCCCTTTGCTGCTGGAAGAGGGCTGAAACAAGTTTTTCTTTGATCTCTGGCTCAGGAAGAGAGGAGTATGAGTTCATCTTCAAAGTGAGTGTGTCGTGGTGTTACCAAGCACATGGCTTGGGCTGCCGTCTCTAGAGCCCAGAGGTACTGTGGTTTAGGGGACCACTAGGGCCTTGGGCCAGAAGTTCTCACGCCCCAGGCTTGGTTGCCAGGGGTGATGCAGAAAGGAGAAAGGATCAAGGTATAAGTGGGCACGTTACACTGCTGATTCACTAGTAGCCACAGTGAGTGCTGAAAGCAGGGGAAAACAGGTCAGGTTTTCCCTGGAGTCACATATCTAAGGAAGTTTTTCCTTATGGCAGTTGGTCAGTCAGTATCTGTAGAGGCTTCAATAGCCCCACTCACCATTAATGGCATCATCTTGCAGAAGAGCTCCTTAGGAGAAGGAAGGAACACACAGCAATTCAGGGTTCAGTAAAAAGCACATCCAGCTTACTAATAATGTCACAGCTGTTGTGATCCCACTTAGAAACATCAGTGTTTCTGTGGTGTGTGCACCATTCAGCTTTTTAAGGGCTGTGTGACATTAATCAAAATATGTATGGACAATGACCGTATGCACACTGATAAAGTGCTCTTGTAAGAGGTCTTCGTTTTATTCTGCTCATCAGTGACTGTGAACCCTCTCCACATTCTCACTTAAAATCAAACCCAACGGCCAGCACAATGCTCTGAGAAGAGGAACAATGTACTAGCACCATGGTCTTCTCACCCTGACCTTCTCGCCCACACGCTGAAAGGAAAGTTGCTGATTTAAAGTAATAGACAAAACTCTAAGAAAAGAGGAAAAGCTTACTTCTTAATCTCATCTTCCACTGCATTGACTCCCTCACTTTGTGGATTCTGGAATTTGTTGGTGGCGCTTCCGAAGTCACACAGGACGTAGTGGCCTCGGTCATGCAAGAGGATATTTTCGACCTGAAAAACATTCCCCAACCATCCATTCCAAGATATCATTTAGTAATGCGTGCGGAGCTTTGGTTCTCATTCACATCAATGAAATATTTCTGATAATCCCATTCATGTGCACAGGAAAGTTACTGTCCTCCACGTATCTCAACACCCCAAGTAGAACAAAACAGCATAATAACAGGGGACAATGAGAGTGGAGGTGGCAAAAGGAGGTGACTCCACAGTGGGGAAGCAAGAATCCCATTTTTAAAAATTTCAGCCACATTTCTCACCTCTGCAGAAACAGCCCTTACACTTCCAAGCCTCTGTGTCTTTCCACACGCCTTTCTTTCGGTCTAGAAGGCTCTCTCTGATTCCCACCTCTTTCCCCAACTATCAAAATCCCCTTGCTCTTTCCAAGCCAGCTGAAAAGCCACCTGCTCTTCGAAGCGTTCCTCAGGCCCCCGTGCAAACAAGCGGGGCTCCTTCCCGGTGCCCCTGCGGTGCTTCCCTCTTCCTCACGCCAGTCATTTCACTCGGGTCTTCTAAATAGATACGTCAATGTCTTTACCACAGAGGTTAGGGTTTTCAGAATTAATAAATATTTGTTGTATTTTAGTTACTTCTCAAGGCAAGTTAAGGCCTGCGGGTAATGAGCAGTTTTCCTTTCAAAGTATTAGCCTTGTCTTTTTATAGATCAATTCTTTAGGCAGTAAGCTAGGGGTTCTGGGGAGAAGGGAGCTTACCGAGACCAGAACCTAGAAAAATCCCTGGTGTTAAAGGACTCTGCCAATGAAATAATAACTCCAAGACAGCAAGCTCTACTGTACTCAAGATGTATTGATTAACTTTTGTTATATAACTGAGCTGACTAGTAGGTGGAAGGACAGACCTGGTTGTGTGGGGGCAGTAAAATGGCAGCCAAAACATCCTGCCAGACCAGTGAGTCTGTAGTCTCCTTGTCTTTTGTCTTCAGACTTTCAAAGGCTGATCACCTTTGGAAAACAGTCAAAGTAGACTAGAAGCACCTAAGGACAAGCACAGGTATCTGTAGTCTTCCCTACCAGTGCCTAACATAGTGTTTGGTGCAGAAAGTGTTGGTTGATTGAAATAAACTAAAAAACAGAAACATATACAACAAACACCTGTGTGTGTGTGAGAGAGACAGAGAGAGAGAGAGAGAGAGAGAGCGAGAGGGAGAGAGAGAGAGAGTCAGAAACAAGACAGGAGCCACCAAATACCCAGGCCTTATTATTACTACCAGTTCTTTTAAAAATACCTGGCCAATGATGACAATCTCTTGTTTCTACATTTTAATTTTTTTTTTCCTCTAAAGATTTTATTGGGGAATTGGGGGAGGGAACAGCGTTGGGGAATCAGAGAAGGGGAACAGACAAGATGCTGTCCTTTTTGTTCTTCAGTCTAGTTGTGGAGGACGTCGCTTCACTGGCCCATGTTGGTATTATCATTGCGCTCTTCCCGGATGAGGCAGTCACTTGCCGGCCATTGGATGGCCACTCATGGCAGCTCACAGCAGCTCATGAACGCTCATGCCAGCTGCCGGACAGCCCCAATACAGTCTATGCCATTGCCGGCAACCCACGGCAGCCCAGCTCCAAGTCGAGCTGTTGTTCACCATCTTAGCTGTAGAGGGCGCAGCATCACTGGCCCTCATGTGGGATCCGAACCCGGGCCCTGCTGCTCACAGCTGGCGTCACAAGCAAACTCCTAACTAACTCTACACTTTAATTTTTATAAAATTATATTCCAAATAATAATATGTTTATTTTACAGTCTGTATATACAAATCCAATACCTAAAGTTTTTGCTGCAAACTGATTCTATAGTTTACTGTTTCTTAATCCTGCTGAGTCTCACTCCTGGTAGTAGTGTAAGGGGTTTTGTCATTGTTAACTCACGTGCCTTGGAATTCATCTGAGGAGAGCTTTTGAGGCCTGAGTTTAAAGTCCACTGTTCTTGCAGAGAGGATAAGCTTGTGCACTTGGGGCACTAATAACCTATGCTCACTTTAATCTAGAATTCTGACCTTGGGGTTTTTAGCCACACAGGCAATGTGAACTATGGCCATCAACTTGCGTGGACATGTTTTGTGATTAAGAATTCTTTGGAGAAATTTGTTCCCCAGAGACAAGGCTGAGGCAGGCAAATATGTCCACCATCTACAGCTTTTTCATAAAGCTCATCAGTTGAATCTAGTCACACAAAATGAAACAGTCAAGCCACCCTGAACATATACTCACTTTAAGAATCTAACGTAATTCCAATAAAACAACACTAGCATTTCCATTCAAATTTAGAGGTTATAAAAACAACAGCTACCATTCCTAAGCTTTTACTATTATGAGTACTCAGCACTTTACATGGATTATCTTAATCCTCATAATAACAGTATAATAATATCCCCGTTTTACAGATGGGAAAGTGAGGCTCTCAGTGATTAAGGCAGGAAGAGAACCCGAGCAACCTAATTCTATGAGGGACAGGCCGAAAGCAGGTTGGAAGCAGAGCAATGACCCAAGGCCCCCAGCCCCACCCTCGAACCCTGGTGGGGAGTATTCACCCAGTGTACTGGATACCAGCTTAACGATGGGGCTACCTTAGTTCTTTAGGTTCAGAAATGCCCCTAGAATAGGAATCTAGTCAATGAGGAACCAAGTGTCTAGATACTGGCCAGGCTGATTTGCTCGGTGTTTCCTAAGCATTCCCTATATTGCCTAGTTTGTCTTTGTATTTAATTGCTCACTTTCCACTAGTCAAATCCTGGTCATTCTTCAAATCCTTGCTCAAGTCCTAACCCTCAGTAGAACCTTCCATGGCCACCCTGCCAAATCTACAGTACTTACTGCCACTAGGAGGGGTCGACAAAGTAAGCCCTTTAGGCCAAACCAAGCCACTTCCTATCGTCTAGTCTAGGGCTGCTTTCCTGCTCCCACAGCAGAGCATGTCCCATGGCCGACAAGCCCCAAATTCTACTACCTGGCCCTCTGCAGGAAAGTTTGCCAACGACTGGTCTATAATTATATCATACCCAGACCAGCAGTTTACAAACATAGGACCCCTAGATCCCTTATATAGCATTATTCGGCTCCAATCCTCCTTCCGGGACTCATGCATCTTACAGGGCTCATGTGAGACCTCACTTCTCCTATTACAGGTGTGCAGTTCCTTCCTAATTCAGCGTCTGTACTTCTAATGCTGGAATGTACAACTTAGAAAACAGAAAAGTTAATTCGTATCGAGATGCAAACAAGGTAGCTCTGGAGACCAAAGTCACTGCGGGAGGGAGGAGAACTAAGTAGACAAAGGACAGAATAAAGATAACGTACGCTTGTTTTTTTCTCCCTACCTTAAAAGCTAGGTTGGTATTTCTGGTTAGTTCCAGAGTGGCGGCACTCAGGAGTCACACTATGTCCAACTTGGTCCCACCTCAGCTGGCCTCCCTCCCTCCCACAAAGATAACAGTGTATACAATTATAGTTACAGGAAAACCAGTTAAACATTAAGGGTGTGTACAAAAGTAGACAAGAGAGTCAGAACTATCAATGCAGGAAAAGCTTTATCAATATCAAAGAAATATCAATGCAGAGCAAAACAATAATTCCTGCTCTGGCTACTCTGCAAGTTTGTTGGGAGGATCAAACGAAATTATAAAGGTGAAATCGCTTGGCAGCAGCTGCGTTAGCTGCTGTGTGCTCTGCCGCCCCCCCCCAAGTCTGTCCCTGTGACTTGTTAAACCTGTGAAAACCTCCAACCTTGGCTGCTGCCCTCCGTCATCAATGCCACCATCATCAACCAAACACTTGACAGAGAGTGTGGTGTGTGGCAACCACAGTGGACTTAGAGTTCAAGAGACCTCAGAGACTATTATAGATGTTTGACCTTGGACGTATCTCTGAAGCTCTTTGGGCTTGTTTCTCATCAGAATAGTAAAGCTGATAATATTTCTATCACTGTTGTTACAAAGCAAGTAAGAGAATGTACACAAAGAAAACTGTCAATATTCCTATATAAACATAATTTGCTACTACCATTCATTTATTAAAGAAATACATTTGAGCTGAAACTAATTCTAAAAAATGTGTATTTCATAATAAAATATAATTTAATAAAAAAAAAAAGAAATACATTTGAACTCCTACTACATATCAAATACTTTTCTAGGTTCTGGGGATAAGGCTGAGAACAAATCAAAATTTAGCCTCTCATGGAGCTTAGTGATCAGTTGAGGATTATAAGAAAGAAAGTAAAATTGCCCAGTAGTGATCAATGTTATGAAAAAGAAAACCCCAGCAGGTTAAATATATGTATGTTTAAGAGGGATGCTATTGTAAACAGCAGTCAGGGGAGGAGCGTTCCAAGCAGAGAATAGCCAGCGTGAAGGAGCTGAGATGGGAGCGTGCTTGAGGTGTCTGAAGCACAGAGGCAGGCCACTATAGCCGGAACTGTGCTGGGCACTGGTATTGCAAAGAAAAGGGAAAACATGGGACTGGACATAATGTGGGCTAGTGCTCTTATGAATGGGGAGATAAGGCTGGGCCTTGGAGGAAGTGAAGGCCTTAGATAAGCAAAACTAGAAGTAGGAACAAAGACACAGAGGCAGGAATGATTGAGCAATGGTATCAGCAAATAATGGCACTTACTATGTGCTAGACACTGCCCCATGTGCTTTTACTTACAGTATTTCATGAAATTCTTATAAAGCCTTATTGTCCCCACTTAAAAGATGAGAAAATGGAGTCTAGTTGTTGAACGTGCCTGAGGTCACAGGACTGGCAGAGTGAGATTTGGGCTCAGGCTGCCTGTCTTCTGGGAACACACCCTCACTCGCTGCATTTATGTGTGTTACGCAGCTAAGGAACATGGACAGTTCAGAATGGAGAAAGAGAAGGGAGCAGAAGGAGAGAGGACCAGAGAAGCAGACAGAGGGCAAACTGAAGAAGGCTACTAGGGAACCACTCGACATTTTTAACCGTCAGCAGCAGATGAAAAGAGGTGTTTTAGGGAGG